TAAGGTTTTACAAGACATTATAGCTTTGAAATATATGAAGCAAAATTGGACAGAATTAAAGGAAGAAATAGTAGAATAATAATAAAAAGACTTCAATGCCATATTTCAATGGATAAAACAATCAGTCTGAAGATAAATAAGGAAACAGATGATGTTAACATTACTATAGGCCTAGAAGGCCTAAGAGACACTCACAGTCTTTGCTTCATAATAATAATAGAATAGGCACTCTGCTCAAGTGCATATGGAACATTCCCCAGGAAGGATAATATGTTAGGCCACAAAAAAGTCTTGGTGAATTTAAAGATATTTAAATCATACAAACTATCTTTCTGATCATAATGAAATGAAACTAGAAATCAACAGAAGGAAAACTGAACAAAACACATAAATAAGTGAAAATTAAATAACACACTCTTAGACCACCAATGAGCCAAAGAAGAAACCTTTATGGAAATTAGAAAACTATCTTGAGTAAAATACAAATGAAAACACAACATACCAAAATTTATGGGATGCATCAAAGGCAGTGAGTGACAATAAAAAAATTTATAGCTGTAAATGCTTACATTACAAAAGAAGATTACAAATCAAAAATCTAAGTTTACACATTATGAAACTAAATAAAAGGGACAAACTAAACCTAAAGATAATAGAAAGAATAAAAAATGGAGATTAGAATAAATAAACTAAATAAAATGGAGATTAGAACAAATAAGACTAAAAAAAAAATCAACAAAACCAAGAGTTTATTCTTTAGAAAGATCAACAAAATTGACAAATCTAGACTAAGGAAAAAAGGGTAAACTTGATCAAAATCAGAAATTAAAGGGGAATACTTCTACTCATTTTATAGAAATAAAAAGGATTATAAGAATTGTATGTCAATAAATTGACAACCTAGATGAAATGGACAGATTCCTAGAAACGCACATATTTCTAGACTGAATCAGGAAGAAACAAAATATGAGCAGGCCTACAACTAGTAAGAAGGTTGAATCAATAATCAAAAACCATCCAGCAAGGCAAAATCCAGGACTAGATAGATGGCTTCACTCTTGAATTCTACCAAACATTTAAAGAAGAATACACATTAGTCCTCCTTAAAATATTCCAAAACAATGGAAGAGGAGAAAACAATTCCAGATTCATTCTATGAGGTCAGCATCATCCTGATACCAAAGCCAGAGATATCCCTGATGATTATCCCTGATGAATTATCCCTGATGAATATTGATGCAAAAAGTCCTCAAATGCTAGCAAACAGAACATACATTAGAATGAGTAAACACCATGACCAAGTAGGATTTATTCGTGGGATGCCAGGATAGTTCAAAATACTAAAATCAAACCAAAATAATATATCATATTAACAAAATGATGGGGGAAAAGCCACATTATCATCTCCCTTAAATCAGAAAAAGCATTTAACAAAACTCAGCACCCTTTCATGATAAAAATTTTAAACAAGTTAAAAATAGAAGCAACTTTAACATAGTAAAGACTACATATGAAAAGCCCACAGATAATATCATAATTAATGGAGAAATACTGAGAACATTTCCTTTAGAAACAGGTGCAAGGCAAGGGTGCCTGCATTTTCATTCAACATAGTTCTTGAAGTCTGAGTCAGAGCAATTAGGTAAGATGAAGAAAAGAAGCAAAATAATCTTCCTTTCGCAGACAACATGATTTTACATGTAGGGGAAAAAATAACCCTAAAAATTCCACATACACAATAAAACTTTTTAAAAATAATAAATTCAGCAAAGTTTCAGGATATAAAATCAATATAAAATATTCAGTTGTATTTCTATACACTAACAATAAGTTATATAAAAAGGATTCTAAAAATAATCTAATTTATAAAGCATAAAATAAATTTAATTAAGGAAAGACTTGTATGCTGAGAACAATAAAACATTGCTGGAAGAATGCTAAAGAAGACAGAAATGGAAAGATACACCATTTTATGACTTGAAGATTTAATATTATTTACATGTCAATACTACCCAAAGTGATCTACATATTCAATGCAATCCCTCTCAGAATACCAATAATTTTTTGATAGAAATAGAAAAATCTATTCTGAAATTCATTTGGCATCTCAAGGGATCCTCAGTAGTCAAAACAATCTTTGAAAAAGAAGAACAACTTTGAAGATCTCACATTTCTTCTTTTCAAAACTTACAACAAAGCTACAGCAATTAAAGCAGTTTGGTGCTGCCATAAAAACAAAAATGTAGACCAATGGATTATAATATAGATCCCAGAAGTAAACCCACACATATTTGTCCAACTGATTTTTGACAAGGATGCCAAGATCTATTAATGAAGAAAAGACAGTACATTTAACAAAGAGTGTTGGGAAATGATATCTACATGCCAAAAAAAAAAAAATGAAGCTGGATTTTTACTTAACATCAGTCCCTCAAATCAACTCAAAATATATCAAAGACCTAATTTCTTTTTTTTTTTTCAAAGACCTAATTTCAAAAGCCAAAACTATACAACTCTTAGAAGAAAACAGAAAAAAAACTTCATGGCATTGGATTTGGCAATGATTTCTTGGATATAAGAACAAATGAACAGACAATATAAGAAAAAAATGGATAAACTGAACTACATCAAAAACTACTTCTGTGCATCAAGGAACATGATCAACAAAGTAAAAGGGCAATCCACACATTGGTAGAAAATATGTGAAAGTCATATATATCTGTAGTTAGGGGCCAAAAATCCAGAATATACAAAGAACTCAAAAAACTCAACAACAAAAACTGAGCAAAGAACCTGATTTAAAAAATGGGCAAAGGACTTGAACAGATATTTCTCCAAAGAAGACCTGCAAAGTCCAGTGATCAGATCAAAAGAGGCTCAGCACCACTAATTGCTAGGGATATGTAAATCAAAACCAAAATTAGATACCATATTAAACCCATTAGGATGGCCACTATAATAAAATAAAACAATTTTTTGCAAAGTAGAGGAGAAATTGGAGTCTTGTGCACTCTGTGTGGGAATATAAAATAGTGCAGCAACAATGAAAAACAATGTGTTCCCCCAAAATTAAAAATAGAATTACTTGATGATCCAGCAATTTCACTTCTGGGTATAGACTCAAAAGAATTAAAAGTAAGGTCTAAAAGWGGTATTAGCACAATTATGTTCATAGCAATATTATTCACAACTGTTCAAACATAAAAGCAACTCAGATTATCCATTGATAGATGAATGAATAAGCAAAATGTGATACACACACCCAATAGAAAATTATTCAACCTTGAAAAAGAACATTGACATATGCTACAACATGGATAAACCTTGAGGACACTATGCTAAGTGAAACAAAGCAGTCTCTATAATACTATACAATTCTACTTATATGAGGCACTATGAACTAATCAGAATCTTAGAAAGTAGAATGACTATTGACAAGAACTGGGGGAGAGAAGAATGGAGAGAGTTATTGTTTACTGAGTGCAGTTTCATTTTTGCAGAATGAAAAGAATTGTAGAGATTAATGATGGTGCAGGTTGTACTACAAAGTAAATGTATTTATGACACTGACCTGTACATTTAAACATGGTAACAATGATAAATTTTGTGATATGTGTGTCATCACAACTAAAAAAATTTAAAATTGAAAAAAATATTTTAAAAGAATATATACTAAGGGGAAGAGAAAACCATAAATATAAAAACAACATCTTAGCCTAAGGATATAGATTTGGAAAGAATTTATTATGAGGGGCTGGGGATGTGGCTCAAGCGGTAGCGCGCTCGCCTGGCATGCGTGCGGCCCGGGTTCGATCCTCAGCACCACATACCAACAAAGATGTTGTGTCGGCCAAGAACTAAAAAATAAACATTAAAAATTTCTCTCTCTCTCTCTCTCTCTCTCTCTCTCTCTCTCTTTAAAAAAAAAAGAATTTATTATGATAAATCATTGAAAATAATGCAAATTCCTTTCCTCTTAAAAAGCCTTAACTATATTCTAACTTCAATATCTTTAATTGCTTATATTCATTTTCACTTAGTTATTTTGATAAATATAATTTTTGTTTAATGAAAGAAATCTGTAAAATACTTTTAAAAATACCATTTTGGGATACTGACATACATACTTCTTATCTCTGATTTCAGAGTTCTTTGAACCTTCAGATTTGTGCGTATATGAAGGCATATTAAAATGTATATTTAAAATTTACTTAAAATATCTTGTTTCTAAATATTCTACATATTTGYATTAAATATTGTTTACTTATAACTTGATTATTTAACAGTGGGGGTGGCTGTACTGAGAATTGAACCCAGACGTACTTTAATACTGAGCTATTCCCAAGCCCTTTTTATTTTTTTAAAAAATTTAAGACAGGGTCTCCCTAAATTGCTTATTGCCTCTCTAACTTGCTAAAGCTGGTCTCAAAGTTGCCATCCTCTTGCCCCAGCCTCCCAAGCTAATGGGATTACAGGCATGTGCCACCATGATTGTCTATAATTTAATTCTTGAGTTAATAAAAACATTATCAGTATGGCATGAGATGTATAGCTAGCAAGCCTGATAAAAATTTAATTGTGTGAATTGATCAACATAGCTCTATAAGTTATGTAAGAATATTATGTTTAATGATTAAAGTAGGAAAAAAGAAGGCACTGAAATGTACTCATTTATACAACCTATAAGTTTGTTGTTATTTTCACACCACAAATGTATCCCTTAGAAATTTGGGACTAGTCAACCTTTAAGGAATAATCTTAAAAAATTCTGAGACAGTCATTTTTTACTTCTATATTCCAATAATGTCAATAAACTAACTTTCAAAATTACTGTAATTAGACTATACTGTAGGAATCTTTTTCGGAAAATGCAGTGAAGCTTAGTGGGGAGAGGAAACTTCTAAAAAAAGCAACCACTGATTTCTACAGACTCTGGTGTGTAACTGGTGTGAAATCTGATTTAAGCTGCCCTTCTAAGACAGAATAAAATCTGAGATGACCTTATCTTAGGAATTTCAATAGGCGAAGGTTTGTCTTCATCTTGGGAGGAGACAGAAATGTTTTCCTCTTCAAAGGGGCCTGAAGTAACTTCACTTTGAGATAGGGCAAAGCTATTGGAATTTTTATAAGATGAAGAATATCCAACTTTATGGAAGATAGGGGAAGTTTGAGAAAGACGCTGTTGAGTCATACTTGGAGAATGACTGGTGCTGTGACTATGAGACTTGAAATGAGGGGAGTCTTTTGACTCTTTAYTTAAATGGTCACTTTCTTCAATAGCAATGGCAAATTTATTTGCTATAGAGGCAGAGGAATTAATAGTTGGAAGAGAAAAGAAAGATGCCATGTCTTGTTGAAGGGAGGCTCTGTCAGCAGTGTTACCATGGGGTGAAGAAATAGTTTTTGCTTCTAAATTGAAAAAGCTATATTCAGGCTTAGAGAAGCTTATACGTTTTTCTGTACCAGGATGACTTTGTCTTCTAGAAAATATTTTAATTTCATTTGAGTTAAACTTCTCCCGACTTCTTGGTTGAGAATCAAAAAACATGTTAGAATTATAATAGGAAACTATACTGAGTTTAGGGGAAGAAAGACGTCTTCGGTATCTAAAGGCACCAAAATGGCCTGAAGATTTTGAATCATCTTCATCTTCTTGAGAATCAAAATTAGCTCTACTTTGTCTCTGATAAAGGGAAAGATTGCTTTTTCTAAGTCTATCAGATAAAGATTGTCTTCTTGCATAGATAATTGAATGAGTAGATGTATCTGATGGATGAGATAATTTTCTACTTCCTGTGGCTGAACTGACTTCATATGTTGCAGAAGGACGATATGTTTTAAGATTAAGAAATTTATGTTGTCGTAAAATAGAAGAGGCTTCATGATGCTGGGGGTGTGAAGTAACTTGATCTTCAGTACAATTTGGTTGGAAGTTCTGGTCCTCTTTGCAGCAGCTAGAGTGAAAAAAGGGTCAAATGAGGAAAAAAAAATAGGGAGCAAAGTGGAGACCTGCCAAGCCTCCTGAGGAATAATATCCACCTTACCCAACAAGGAAACAATAGGGAATAAGAAAAATAAGGTAGCTGAAGTTSGTGGTCATACAGATGTACCCCAAAGAAGGCATGTATAGATAGAAGACCACCTCTGTAAGTACCTGCCCACTTCTCCTAAAGCTTGGGGAAGGAAATTGAAAGACTCAGAGGAGAAGGTGGAAAGAAAGATAAAGGAGATCCATGAAAGGCCCCCAGAACTAAAGGATCCCCAGGAAGAAAAATAGAACTTATGTTTTTAAAAATAATAAATTACAACATCTGTTCAAGACTATTAAACTAGCATATTTAAAGAAGTAATATATTCTTATATCCTGTTTACTGATTTGTATTAAAATATTAACTGTGGGAGAAGCAGAACCTCTCTGTAGAGGATGTTCCAACTAAATATAGAGACACTCCTGTTATCGTGGGAAACTAAAGCAAGCACTAACGCTTGTCTTATGAATATTTTCAATGTTCTTTAGCACACGAAGCATGAAACACATGAAGTGTTATGTTTGGTTTTATTTTGTTTTGTTTTTAAGGGCTTACCTTAAGCATTTCCCCATGTTAACTTTAATCCAAACTGTCTTCCCTTCCTTTCTAGATCATCATCCTTAAGCCATAAAATGCCTTGTGTAGGTGGAAAAAGTCAGAAGATGAATGCTTAAGCTGCATGTGAAACTAACATGGCAACAACACAGAATGTGATGACAGCAGACTCTAGAATTTAATGACATCAATGTAGAATAGAATTATTTTGTGGCTCACCTTTTTGAAAAGCTCCAATTTGTGTGGCTGTAGCATTCGTATTCTGAGTTCATTATGTTCAGAGTCTGTCAACAAATCAAGGGATGAAAAAGCAGCAGGATGGGGGCAATAACAAACATGGTATCGCYGCAATTCTTTCCTTGGAAGTGTCTCTCTCACCAGCAGCTGTCGACACCCTGGTTTAACTAATTTTTCTTTCACTTAAACATACTTTACAGCAGGATTTTACATACTTCAGTGAAATGAAAAATGACTATTAACAAACTTTGGTCTGAAGATATATTGAAACAGGGAGGAAAGATTTAAAAAGTACCAAATGTTACTTCTGTCTCCCAAACGCAACAAGCTTCATCCACACTGACAGTAAAACGTGTCATGTGATTGTCTGAGCCACATGAAAAGATTATGGAGAGGTGATATGTCACTTTTATTATTCTTGAAACAATTTAATATTCATCTAATGGTGAAGTTAACAGAGTTAGTAGGAAAGGAACATTGTTAATTTTTTTCCAACCCAATTTGGAATACTGTCTCCATGATGTATTTATGTGCATACCCACTTGTGACATTAAACACCTCTCAAACACTTAATCACTGTTCAATATCCTGATACTGTACCCTCTGTTTCCTCCTACCTTTGTTCCCTAATAGCCTGCTTCAGAAACCCCTTGAACAAATTCCTTTTAAGAGGCCTAAAGTTCTTAATTGCTTAATTGTCTCGCACAATTTTCAGATTTGTGATTTGATTTTACCCTACATATATACTAATAMATTAACACATTCAGTCCCATTGTCTATATATAAATATGCCATTTATGGTATCTCTGAGTTCTATTCTTTTGAGAAAAGTAAATAGGTGATGATTAGAGTGTTTGAAAATATTTTATACTTGGGCTGGGGATGTGGCTCAAGCGGTAGCGCTCTTGCCTGGCATGTGTGCGACCCGGGTTYGATCCTCAGCACCACATACCAACAAAGATGTTGTATCCGCCGAGAACTAAAAAATAAATATTAAAAAAATTCTCTCTCTCTCTCTCTCTCTCCTCTCTCACTCTCTCTTTAAAAAAAAAGAAAATATTTTATACTTATAATGGCACAAACTTTACTGCACAAATTCCTTTTGCTAAATATTCAACTGAACAAAGTATCATGTATGTAACTGATATGTAATACAATAATGCATCATGAAAATATTTTCTAGAACTAGGCTGTCATTTTATTTTAAGAAATGCACTGTATTTCAAATTATCAATGTTTGAAAAGACTTGTCCTATAATTAGGACACTGGGACCATGTATAGGGCATAGTCATTTGTAGTGTAGTGCACTGATGCCTGGCAAACTCTAACTTGTTACTTGTGACTTGTCTACAATGTGTTGACAAGTGAGAATGTGTTCAAGTGCTAACACTAGAAGAAACTGAGGAACTGCTGAATAAATATTCTGAAGATGAGAATATTGAAGCATCTGATACAGTAATAATTCTATCAGATGTAAATAATTTAACTGACAACAATGAAGCTGATGGGATAGTGAAACTGGTGAACCAATAGTGAAAGATATTCCATGTCCTCTTGAGTTATATATTGAAACATCTGACCTAGCTGCCAAAATAGAAGGTATGATGATAGTGAAGATGTTCATGTTACTGCTATTGATTCTTCTATCTGTCCTCGGGGAAAAAAGAAAATTGGCAGGTATCACTAGGTAAAAAGTGAAAATTATACAAGTCAGTACCTGTTTGGCAATCAATAGCATCCAAAAACTTTAAATAATATTTAGAGAAAACACTTATTATGAATTCTCAGTGAGAAAAATTCTTGGAGTATTAAGCTTGGTGGAGATTTCTGAAGAAATATTGAAGCCCCAAATATACAATTATATTGTTAAAGAAACTGTATGCGCTTCTGCAAAACATAAGAATTAATTTGAAGTACTTAATGTAATAAGTTAAAACATTTTTAGGAATTGTTATGTTTTCAGGATAGCATAAATTACCCTCCACATGAAACTATTGGTCAATGTTGAAGATTTGGATATATCTATCATTAAAAATGAAATGTCAAGAAATCATTTGCTAACATTATATTTTTTGCAGTATGAAGGACAAGAAAATATTTTAAAATTGATCCTCTAATAAATATGATTCAAAAGTCATTCATGAAACTTGATATCTTTGAAGAACATTTGACAGAAGAAGCAATGATTATTAGACATTATAGACATAATTTGCTAAAACAGTTTATGAGCTAAGCCCATAATATTTGGTTATAAATTCCAGGCACTGTGCAGAGTATTGAGATATTGCTATAACTTTGATTTGTATTGTGGAAAAAGTACATAAGAAGGACTGTGCCATGATGACCTTTTGCATTGGGAATAAGGTAGTTTTATAAACGCTTTAAGTAATAAATAATCTACAATCAAACTGTGATCTTCAACAGTCTATTCACTGGCTATAATTTGTTRATAAAACTTTAGGAATTGAATCTCAGGCCACAGGCACCATGAGGGAAAACAGACTAAACAAATGTCCTCTGAAACTGACAACAGTAATGAAAATACAAGCAAGAGGGTCATATAATAACAGATGCAGCAAAAATAATGACATTTTCCTGTAAAGTGGCTGAATAATAAATATATCATTGTTAGAACAAACTACCATACTAAGGAACCACTTGGCAAAGTTCAACAATGGAAAAAATTAAAGAGCAGAGTCAATGTGTTTCAACCACAATGTATATCAATAGTGGTGTGGATCAACATGATGGCTGGGTTCCAAATATTCCATCTCTATAAAAGTAAGAGATGGTACTGTCATATTTTCACTTGAATAATTAACATATGTGTCATAAATGCAWGGATTATTCACAAATTTTTGAACAAAGATAAGAAATATCTCATAAATTTGTTGGATTTCAAAAGTGAGACCTGCTTGGCATACCTGGAATGATGCAATGAAAACCATCAGTAGAAAGAAAAGTTAATACTCCTAGATGTACTACTGCTAAGATGACATCTGATTTGACATGAGAAGCTATAATATTCTGAAATAGCAAGAGCAAGAATGATGTCAAAACAAGTCATGTCATGTAAAACTGGCAACAACTTATCAAAAATGTAACCTTTTGTTTGAAGTTTTTTGCTCATTTCCACCAAAATTAATTATTGAATAATCATTAAAGTCACTTCTTTGTATATTATGCAATGTATGAAAGGATATCATATTTGCCCAATGTCCTATTATAGGATAGTTTATATATATTGTTCCAGTGTCCTATTTATACGACAATCCACATTTTTTATCTTAACAATAATCAAGGATACATAAGTTCTAGATTAGGATTTCCAACCTATTTTAATGCACCTATGTCAATTTCATTGAAATATTCACAGAACTGAAAACTTGGGACTTAATAGGTCAATCTCTTACAGAAGACATAAAATTCCTAGGTCAAAAACAGAAGGTTTATACTACTCATGGCACAGCAAGAAGCCTGACCATTAGATTATTTGTGTTGTGTGTTGGTCCTCCTTAGCTCCATATTGCCCACAGGGGCAATATAGAGGGTCCTGAGAGAAAAAACAGTGAGTTTAGGTGATCCAACACTTTTATGGCTAGTAAGCAAATTGGCTTAATCTTCTTTAAGTCCTAGAGGAAAACATTCCCTCCTTCCTAAAGGTTTCTTTTCTCTGAAAAGTGGCCCAAATAAAGAATGGTCAGGACTGTTCTTGACAGACCTACAAAGATATATAGGAGTACAGGAAGCCCAAGAAATTCTGTCTCTTAGTGCAGCAATCTATTATTTTCCCCCAACTTTTTTGGGGGGTGGGGGTATGAGAATTAAACTCAGGGGCACTTAACCACTGAGCCACATCCCCAACCCTTCTTTTGTGTTTTATTTAGGGTCTCACTGAGTTGCTTAATGCCTCACTAAGTTGCCAAGGGTGGCTTTGAACTCACGAACCTGCTGCCTCAGCCTCCTGAGCCGCTGGGATTACAGGCCTGCACCACCAGCTTGACACTATTTTTTCTTTCTTGTAAGATTGTTACCTGTTTTTCTTCAGTCAGATGAGATCAGGTACATTCAGAATGGTACGGCTGAAGATTGTTCCTCAGTCATATTAAGATCTGTGGTTACCTTTTGCTAAAGGACTCCTTTTGAAGGATGTAAAATGGCAGGCTAGAGGTAGGCTGCATTCTGTGTCACTCATAGACTTGGGATTCAAGCAGTGGGAATAATGTTTCTCTTTGAGTGATTAGAGGACCCCGACAGCTGCTCCTGTGCAGGAAACACTGCCGCCACCATGCTGCACAGGTCTCTAGGCCTCAGCATCAGCACAGGACTCAAGGCCACACGTCTACACAGGTCCTCCAGTGCCCAAGTAGGACCACCCGGCATTAGCACCCACACAGGACTTCTGGATGCCCACCCCCACAGGAATCCCAGTCACTGATCYCATGCAGGACACCCGGCCGCCATTCCCGTGTGATCCCCATGTGGGACTCTTCTGGTCCCCTCCAACTTGGGACACTGCAACTACTGCACAGTCCCCTACTTGTGGCTACCTACAACTGGGGTCATTGCACTGGGTACAGAGACAGCCGCCAGCCACAATACTGAACGCCACAGAGCTGCTTCTCTGTACATGCTGCTCAACGTCACCGCCCGCCTAGCCCTACGTGACCCCCTACACCCCATTGCTTAAAGCAGCCACCTCCATCTTGGGACACCTTCCTCACCATCTTTAGTTGGACAACTCCCAGCTTGGAAACCAGCAAGGTGTTATTATCAAAG